ATGAGAAAAAAATTACAGGCCTTTTTTTATGAATTTATTTGCAAATTATGGTGGAAAATAAGTATTTGGTCAATAACAAAAGTTTCTCAATACTTTGTTATATACCCTTTGTTGGCAATGACACAGGTCAAACGTTTTCTGTAACTCTTCACAAGGTTTTCACACACTGTTGCTGGTATTTTGGCCCATTCTTCCATGCAGATCTCCTCTAGAGCAGTGATGTTTTGGGGCTGTCACTGGGCAACACGGACTTTCAACTCCCTCCAAAGATTTTCTATGGGGTTGAGATCTGGAGACTGGCTAGGCCACTCCAGGACCTTGAAATGCTTCTTACGAAGCCAATCCTTCGTTTCCCGGGCGGTGTGTTTGGGATCATTGTCATGCTGAAAGACCCAGCCATGTTTCATCTTCAATGCCCTTGCTGATGGAAGGAGGTTTTCACTCAAAATCTCATGATACATGGCCCCATTCATTCTTTCCTTTACACGGATCAGTCGTCCTGGTCCCTTTGCAGAAAAACAGCCCCAAAGCATGATGTTTCCACCCCCATGCTTCACAGTAGGTATGGTGTTCTTTGGATGCAACTCAGCATTCTTTGTCCTCCAAACACGACAAGTTGAGTTTTTACCAAAAAGTTCTATTTTGGTTTCATCTGACCATATGACATTCTCCCAATCCTCTTCTGGATCATCCAAATGCACTCTAGCAAACTTCAGACGGGCCTGGACATGTACTGGCTTAAGCAGGGGGACACGTCTGGCACTGCAGGATTTGAGTCCCTGGCGGCGTAGTGTGTTACTGATGGTAGGCTTTGTTACTTTGGTCCCAGCTCTCTGCAGGTCATTCACTAGGTCCCCCCGTGTGGTTCTGGGATTTTTGCTCACCGTTCTTGTGATCATTTTGACCCCACGGGGTGAGATCTTGCGTGGAGCCCCAGATCGAGGGAGATTATCAGTGGACTTGTATGTCTTCCATTTCCTAATAATTGCTCCCACAGTTGATTTCTTCAAACCAAGCTGCTTACCTATTGCAGATTCAGTCTTCCCAGCCTGGTGCAGGTCTACAATTTTGTTTCTGGTGTCCTTTGACAGCTCTTTGGTCTTGGCCATAGTGGAGTTTGGAGTGTGACTGTTTGAGGTTGTGGACAGGTGTCTTTTATACTGATAACAAGTTCAAACAGGTGCCATTAATACAGGTAACGAGTGGAGAACAGAGGAGCCTCTTAAAGAAGAAGTTACAGGTCTGTGAGAGCCAGAAATCTTGCTTGTTTGTAGGTGACCAAATACTTATTTTCCACCACAATTTGCAAATAAATAAATTAAAAATCCTACAATGTGATTTTCTGGAATTTTTGTCTCTCTCAATTTGTCTGTCATAGTTGACGTGTACCTATGATGAAAATTACAGGCCTCTCTCATCTTTTTAAGTGGGAGAACTTGCACAATTGGTGGCTGACTAAATACTTTTTTCCCCACTGTATGTGTGGGTTTATAGAAAGGGATAGATTATCTGTAGGCAACCCCATACTGGAAATTATACATGATCTGTAACCACATCTGTAGTCTCACGTGCCCAGCCGGCTCCAGACATAAGCGGTCACTTCGGGCCCCCGGCAGCTAGAAACTGTCGGGGTCTCAACTTACTGTTGAGCGTTAGAATACTAGAATACACAAAGTTAAGTTCAAAATGTGGTTGTGTATTAGCAGTTTGTCTCCTTAACGTCTAGCCAGTGATCTAAATTTGTAGTAATCATGGCCAAATACTGACCTGACCTCCAGGGGGCCCTCATTGATTTTGTTAGTCGCTCTCACTCAGATATCATTAACATGGCAATGTATAAACTGCAGAAAACTTGCTTTAAAACTGCAACATTGTCTTTACGCCCCATGTCAAAATGTGTAGCATTGCAGGAAAGTAACTTTAAACCACATTATTTCTCTCCACCATCAAGACAGGGGCCACCTCAAAAAGATATGCCCACTTGGTGGCCCCCCAATCAAATCTCAGTTTAGACCCCCAAAAGGCTAGAGCCAGCTCTGCTCCTGTGGCCAGCCTTCCAACATATGTACAGAACCCTTGTTTGGAAAGGACACTATCAACCCAGAGTGAACAAACAAGATCACAGTTTTAAACATTTTATTAGGAAAAGGGGAGGGGAAGACTAATACCGCTATACAAACCAATACAACAATTTACAGTATAGGTTACAATACATACAAATGTGTAATTTATTCTACTTTTATAACTTACCAGGGGCCTAGAACTTCAAACATAGGGGTGCATTCATTAGAAACGAAATGGGCAGAAACAGGGAGGGACTCACTAACCTGAACTTGTCCAATAAGAAACGCTTGTTTTCATCGCTAAATGTTTTTCTTGTGTACAGTAATGAATACACTCCCAAATCAATATGTACCTGCTGACCTTAAGACTTGGTCCCTGCTTGCTTATGGATGGAATTATACCTCAAATAAATCTGAACCTCACAATGAGTGGCGCAGCGGTCTAAGGCACTGCATCTCAGTGCTTGAGACATCACTACAGACCCCCTGGTTTGATTCCAGGCTGTATCACAACCGGCCGTGATTGGGAGTCCCATAGGGCAGCGCACAATTGGCCCAGCGTCGTCCGGGTTTGGCCGGTGTAGGCCGTCATTGTAAATAAGAATTTGTTCTTAACTGACTTGCCTAGTTAAATAAAGATAAAATAAAAATGACAGCAGACAACATTTCAACAACCAAGATCATGTTTATATTTAAAGGGCAATCTGGGATTCAAACAACAAAGACCCAGCCACTTGTTTGGTTAAGTGCTGATGGATTGGCCTGGAGAAATGTAGACTAACCACTCTGAAATTCAGACTGAGCTATTGATACATGGATTGACCATCTATGAGCTCAATATTATTGTTTTGACCATGTTTTGAAGCTATAGTTGGTTTACAATTACATTGCTTACAATGGAGTAACACAAGCTTATATTTGGAGCTCTGATGAACTTATGTTTTTGGGTGGGACAGTTAAAGGTCATAAGGCATTCAAGTTATATTTTTCAAGAATCAATGGTTACGCCTATAGATCTCAATTTAAACTTCCCAAAACATTAACGAATCCCAGACTGCCCCTTTAAAAGACATTAGGTTGACATAGGCTGCGTTTATACAGGCAGCCCAATTCTGATATTTTTTTCCTTCACTAAAATGGTCTTCAGATCAGCTTTGAAAAAGATCTGATAAGTCAAATGACCAATTAGAGGGAAAATATCGAAATGTGGCTTCCTGTCCGAACACAGCAATATATATTTTTAGTTTGGAAAGGAATAACATCTGTATTAACTGTCCATGCCCGGCCTAAAATCAAGCACACGGCAGTCGTGTCATTGTCCTGATTCCTGTGTACCTAAATTAGTCACATCTTTAACCCCAAGGTTCATACAACTGATCCCAACTCCCATCTTACCTGGTTAGATTCCTGCAGGCTGTGCCAAGAGCATCTCTCCGGAGATGCTTCCAGGGTGAGCGTTATATGGTGAGAACTGGGGACATGGCAATAAATCCCTATCAATCCAACCCATGACAACTAAATAAATTTGGCAGTGAAGGGGCAGATAGGTATAGTTAAATTGCGATTGAGCGCTTGAAGTGGAGGGGATACACAAGAGTTGTTCACGTTATTTGACATTCGTAGAGGACGATTCTTAATTTATCATTATCAAGCATACATCCCCCTTCAAATGGTTTAAGTATATTAAGAAGCAACTGATCATCCGCCATTGAATCACAGTAATATAAGAACCTGCGATAATTTGATTTAACAAGGAGATCAAAAAAGTTAAAAATGATTATACAATTCAGTTTATTTATTAAAATCATGTCCTCTGATTACAAATAAGAACATTACCCACCTTAGGGTAACTCGCTACCATCAGCAAATATTTGTCCAACTAACAAATTAACCAACTAGTCCATCGTAGTGGTTTATTATGTCTTTGTACATTGTCGCAGAGCGCTACCTTTTCATAATCCATAACTTGCCCTAATTTCAGACGATAGATTGAACAAACGTGCTGACAATAATTTAAAAGGAAACACGAGTGTTCGTATTCAAGTCGATATACAGTCACGATTACTTTACATTAATAACATCATTTTCGTAATAACGTGTTGCAGCTTCCATTCATCAAATTTCAGAAATGAGATTTTAGAGCAAAAAGTTTGTATCATGACACGTTACAGTATATCAAGAGGACAAAATATTGTTAACGTAAAATAAAAACGCACGACTAAAAGGCTTCTGGGAGCCAGAGACTTAAAAAAGGTACCTAAAGCACAATACTAAAACAATGCAAAACAAAAAAGGGGAAACCATACAAATGTAATAAAAGTGTTTTAGATGACGAGAGGTCATGCATTACAATTCCTCCTGAGAAGGAAACGCGCTCAGCCACAGACGAGGGGGGTAAATCGCTGCGTGCATCAGGAGACGACGGCGGTGACGAGGACGCAGATCTTGTTGAAATATTTAAACCTGGAAAGAGAGCAAACCACACACACAAGTCAAGCGCCTGTTACACCCCCAGTGAACATGTTTCCATTTATAGACGATCTACATTAATTGTTTCATTATCATCATTAGCAGCTTTGGTGAAATATTTCACTATATCAGTTCCTCATTTTTACCAATACATGATTTAGGTTTAGCCCAATCATTGCCCATACACCAGCAGTGCCGACGAGAGGATTAAGAATTACGATTTGTCGCAGAACTCTTTTACGCATGCCTTTTCTCCCAGTTCAAGCATTTCACAGTTAATCTGGAGGTTTAGCGAAGAGCGACTGTCAGACCATTCCTCACTCAGAACTGAGACACGAAGCCCGTCTAAAGAGTGCATCAAGTGACCTTGGAACCTCCATATAGAGGATAGGTAATACTTCGCCTCCCATGAGAATGTTTATAGCGCCGGCCTATTCTCACCTTGAGTCAAACGCCGGTGTGCGCCGCTTAGTAATAGCGAGTCGCTGGCGGCGGTGGCAACCTGTCGGCGTAGGGGTCCCTGGTACGGGGTAGGTTGTACATCGCGGGCCGAGAGATGGGGGACAGTCGGGAACGCTCGTAGGAGTAACCGTTACCGGCATGGGGCATGGGGGGAGGAGGGGCTCTCCGAATGGGACTGCGGTCCCTGGCGTAGTACGCGGACGGGGGAGGATGGAGGGGGCGACGCTCATATGGGTCGAGGCCAGAGGTCATGAAACGCTCCCTGACCATGGAAGAGGGGGGGCGGGGGAGGAGGGGGTAAGGAGCCTACACGCCTCTCATCATAGGACATTATGCCGTAAGGGGCAGGTCGAGCCCTGTATTTCTCATAATAATCCACCACAGCATAGCTCTGCCTCTCGCGCTCATAAGCACGCTCTGGGTAAGGGGCTCGTCTAGGGGGAGGGGGTGGTGGAGGGGGGGCAGGGTACCCGTGATGAGGGGGTGGGTGACGACCTCTTAGATAGCTAGGGGGTGGGGGATCATGCCTCTCCCCGGGGTAGCCACGGGGGGGCCAGTAACCCCCCCTCTCAGGTGGGGGTGGGGGGTAGTCTTCTTCCTCCTCATACCTGGGACGGCTCTTTGATATCTGGACATGGATACGTTTCCCTATTAGGGGGAGAAATGCCAAAAAACATGATTAGGTGGAAGAGAGGTAGTAGCCAAATGTTTTAAAGTGTAACCTTCTTAAACAGCATAAATCTTACCCTGGAATTCAACGTTGTCTAATCCCTTGATGGCATCCAAAGCCTCATCGGAGTTGTCCATGTGCACAAATGCAAAGTTTTTGACAATAGCACATTCAGACACTGTGCCATACTCCTCAAACAAGGTGCGGAGCTCATCATCATTGCCTTTCTCCACGTTTGTTACGTGGAGTTTGATGGCTCCCTGGTTCTTCCCGTGACTAGCCTCAACGTTTATCGCCGTGCCATGCAGCTTGTAGAGGTGCAGGCTGCGGATGGCTTTGGTGGCAGACTTACGGTCATCCATGTGGACGAAAGCAAAATTCTTGACGATGGCGCATTCTGTGACGGCACCGTACTGGGAGAACAATGCCTGAATTTCATCCTTGTCAGCCTCCCGAGGAAGGTTCCCAATGAAGATCTTGACCATCCTTGAAGCAGTGTTGTAGAAAGCCTGAGGTGAGAGGGGGAAATATCAATGATGAGACAGAACCAGCGACATAGTTTACATGACAAAGTATTGTACACTTGTTTTGGGCACCAAGAATGGGGCCTTGGGGGCTAGCCATCTAGGATGCTAGCTAACCACTTTTGCCAGAAATCGGTTGTATTCAAACTTCGAAAACACAGATAAGCTTATTATTTCAGCAACATGATAATGCCAAGGCAAAAAAACTTTTATAGAACCAAAAACGACAATACCTAGAAAACGGCGTCGAATATTGTATATCTCGTTGTCTAGGTACGTTACCTAGCTAAAGTAGCTAATTTAGCAAATGAGCCTAGCTAGCCACCCCAACATGCGCGTACCCGTCCGAGAAAATATACTCTAAAAAGCTTTTATTGCAAAAACAGAACATTCTTCAGTACGGGTAGAGATTCCAGTATATACCTTACGTCAATTTAAAATGTTTTAGTAGTAGCTATTTATTTATTTTATCGACCAAGAACGATTGAATGGATCGCTTACCTCAATCAGTTAGCTGCTTCACGGTCGTGAAAAAAAATGGCTACACCGGCGTTCTAAAGAAGCGCGCCTACAGAGCTGCGTTGTCACAGCTGATTGGTTAGACAACCATTGTTCATTGATTAGCCTGGGAATGGACCAATGGAACAATTTCAACATTTATTAGAGTAATTCAGACCACCAATGAGATTTGAAGTTGTTACAGTGTAGCCAACACAATGAGTAGGCAAGCGATACGGACCACTGGTCAGTCACATTAATTAGTTAACTACGATGTAATAAACTGAATAGCTTGAAACTGCCTATACAGGGTTATTTATTACCCTAGCTAGGTACATAATATTATTATGCTACTATTCGAACCAATTAATTCGAATGGTATAACTTAAATTAGCTTGCCTGGTATCCGTATTTGATTGAACACATATAGCCACATTTTTCTTTACTTTATTATCACCATTATCTGTAGGGCTAACAACCGTCAGTTTCACTGCCTCCGTTTTTATTTTTATTTGGCATGCTGATTACAGATGGCAGTCGATGATTGAAGTAAACCCTCCTTTCCCAAAACAGTTAATTGGGCATGCAGTTTAATCACAGATAAGTATTTGGTTTAACTGATACTGCATATTTATAGACAGTACTCACACGGTCATAAAATAGCCGTATGGGCCAGCCTGTTACAGAAAAGCGTAAGGAACTTGCACGGAGCCTGAAAGGGTGAAAGCAAAACAGTCGTTCCCTAAGCATCTAGCGCGATTGGGAAATTCCAGAATTTCACACCACAGGATCAAGGCAAGCATCAGTCACTTCCACTAGCGGTGCTATGTGTGGTGCTGCTGGTGCTGGCTGACGTTATGGTCGTCCCCTTACCCTTTTTTTGCACTCCAGTGTCCTCCGACACCGGTTATAGTTGGCACACAACTTGGTGTGTCAGTAGGCAATTAGTTGTACCCGTTCAAGTAGACCAGGGTTCTTCAATTCCGGTCCTGGAGGGCCGAAACACCTCTGTTTTTCATCCTCTCCTTCTAATCAGGGGCTAATTCAGACCTGGGACACCAGGTGAGTGCAATTAACTACCAGGTAGAAATAAAAAACAGAAGTGTTTCGGCCCTCCAGGACCGGAATTGAAGAACCCTGAAGTAGACAAAGCAAGTCAATCGTCGGACAGTTTATTACTGTACCCTGATCTTTTGAGACGCTGCGGGCAATTATACCGACAGCCTAACCAACTTTACAGGTAAGATATAGCAAGTTTGAAAGTGAACATTCAGAATGGTTTTGTTTGAACGAATGTCATATTTATCAGTATAATCTTAGACTAGCCTAGTGTTATTGGTCCTTACATTTGCAGATTGATATTTAACATGTTCACCTCTCTGTTCCTCTACTTGTATGAAAAAGGCAACATTCAAAGCACAGTGGAATGATTTTCAGCCAGTGCAAGTTTTAGAGGAAATGCTGACTGAGGCAGGGTGTGTGGAATGATGCAATTCTGAGACGTCTTTCATTAAATAAGACCTACATAAAAAAAATAAAAAAAATATCAAAAGCACCTTGAGATTTTGTACTGCTTAATGGAAATACTCTGAACATTCTCCCTATGGAATAGAGCAATATAATTAAGTATTTTTAAGTCCATCACCCTCTGACATCCTCTCTGAGCTGTTATTCTGTCTAGTAATAAGACTTATTTAGTGCCAGAATAACAAAAAGTAATCAATTTAATATTCCTCTGTTTTTCTCTTAGACCAAGTGAACCTGAAAGTGAAAGACAACTTTCCTTCAATTGCATCAGCCATCATAAGACCCATCATGGAGGTGTCTCAAACCGTGGAAACAGAGGAGCTGATGACCTGCCTCCAGATCCAGCTCTACCACCCCCAGCAGGCCTCCAGGGCTCTGTACTGCATGTTGCCTCTGGACACCAGACACAAGCACCAGGCTGAGGACCCAATGAGGCTGGGTAGGGATGCCCAGGCCTGCACCTTCGCTCTGGCCGACCCCCGGGTCTCCCGCAAGCAGCTGTCCCTGCAGGCCTACCGCACCTCCAACAGCCCAGACATTATATTTTCTGTGCAGAACCTGAGCCAGAAGGTACGCGCAGGGGCGGTGTGTTCATTAGGGCGATATGGGCGACGCACTGCCAAACGGGAAAAGGAAGGGATTTTTTTTCTAATCAATTATATCACGGCAACAGTAGTTATCAGTGTTCTAATCTAGACGTCTGATCTGCCACTAAATGTCCAATCAGGCTAAAGTCGTGCTTCAAATGGCCCCGCCCCTTTTGGGGCGATTTCAGTCAGGTTGAAAATCGGCCAGGAGTCTCTCATAGACTATCATGTAAAAAAAATTTTTTTTCAAATATCAGAGCTTTCAATACAATCTCTATGGGTTCCGGGAGGGCTTGCACTTACGCGCTTTCGTCATACGTAACATAAGTAACCATGAACATAACTAAGAAAAGAGCGGGTAGCAGCGTCAATCAATTCACGTACAACTGTCAAGATGGCTAGCTTTGCGAGGCAAAGATGAAACTGAGGGCTCCACCAACCCTGGTATTTTTCTTGGACTTGTCAACTTTGTGGCACAATTAGATGAGGTGTTTGATGACCATCTTAAAAATGCTAAAGTTTTCAAGGGCACATCAAAGACCATTCAAAACGAGCTACTGGAGTGTATGCTAGCGGTCATGAGGGAACATATTGTGGAGGAGGTGAAGTCGGCGAACTTCATAGCTATCCAAGCTGACGAGACCACGGACGTTTCTACACAGACACAGCTGGTGCTTGTGCTGAGGTACATAGATAGCAACCACAAAGTGCAGGAGCGCTTTTTTGAGTTCCTTCCCATCTCGGAATCAACCTCAGTCTCAATCGCCAGTGTGCTTTTGGAGAGACTGAACGGTCTTTTTGCCGACGACGAGAAAGTCAAACTCATTGCGCAAGCTTACGATGGAGCCAGTGTGATGAGGGGAGAGAAGGCTGGTGTGCAGCAAAAGGTGCGTGAGCATTTCAAGAATGTCCATTACGTGCATTGCTATGCGCATCAGCTGAATTTGATCATGCAGCAAGCTAGAACAGTTTCAGTACAAGTAATGTAGCCCCTCTCTCTCTTTGTCCCTCCCTGTCTGTCTCTTTAACACACACATGCCCAAATCAGTTCACAGTTGATGTTGTTTAAAATAGTTATTTTTCATTTTAAAAAAAGTAAAAAAATAAATAATAATCTGTTCATGTTCATTTTTACAAATCTATACAATTGGCCAGAATATGGTTGTTCATATTTACAAATCTATACAATTGGCCAGAATATGGTTGTTCATTTTTACAAAGCCATACAGATAGCTGTGTTTACCTTTTCTAGAAATTATTTTCAAATTCTGTTTTCAGGCAAAATGTCTATCACTGTTCATTTTCACAAATCTATACAAGAGGGCAGAATATGGAAGTCTATAAAAATTTCTTATTACCAATAACTTGCATCAATGTTTTCAGTAGCCTCTATCAAAAGCTCCTGCTTGCTTGTTGTGAATTATGCTCAGGTGCACATATTTCCAATTCAACCATGAGGCCTTTTTGAAGCAAGTAATGTGTATATCAGTATTGACTTATATGCTGCCCCTGTCTTCATGTTGTTGCTGGACATATCTTTTTTTTTTTTAATGTGTGTAGGTCACCTAAATCATCAGAAAAATTGCCCCCCCTGAGAATTTTTTCAGGAGCCGCCACTGGGTACGCGTGACGGTCAATGGGTCTGAGCTGGGGTTCTTGGAGAGGGCAGAGCTGCCAGATAAGGCCCTCATCTGGTTCGGGGAGTACGAGATGCTGATACGTCGTGAGAATGGAGAGGCGAGGGGGAGCTTTGAGGTGGAGTTTGGGGTGCTGGCAGTGCCCCCTTCCAGAGAGATGGGCATGCCAAGTATGGTGCCCGTCGTGGACACAGGCTCAGACCTTTCAACCAATGACATTCCACCCCTCATGAGCCATGGGCCAATGGAGATGGATGAGACAATCATGTACTGCGCTTCTTTCATAGATTAGTTTTACTACAATGACAGCCATATAGTTTTGATTATATTGTATTATTTTCTTTAACTAGAAGCGTTTTTCAAGAAAACTGCTTATGTTAAACATTCTGAAAGTTTAATCAAGCCATATGTACCTCAAATGTTGGTTTTATATTCTCCATTATATACCACTCCTCAAGTGTTATTCAGACTGTTACGTTATTTTATAAAATGTGAAACTAAAGCTTGTGAATATGACCCTTTTTCATGATACCCAAATAAGAGCAAGTATCAGAATTCAATGAAGGATGGGGTTAGGGTGGGGAAGGATACTGTTTTGTCAGTTTTGTAAAATGTTGATTGTAATAATAAAACTGTTTTATTTGATTATCATGTACTTGCCAAAACGTTTCACAACTAACTCAACCAAGGCACATTCTGAAAAACCGGCTATACCTGTATACGTTTGTCTACCTACGTGTTTGATGAGATATGACCCCAATTTTCTCTATTATCTTGGAGCTGAAGTTACAGTGAGCCAGTCAAACAATGTAAGAATTCAGTCGCTCGTATCTTTTCTCACAATCATATTTATTCATTGTATACTAACCTGAATCTAAATAGGCCATAGTAACTTCAAAAGAAAGGACTTATAGTCGGTGAAGACATATTGGTGAGGTCCCCTATCCCTAGGCGACTATCCAACCCCTCTTCCTCTCTTGCCTGGCAAATGTCAACAGCCACAGAACAACTATGAAGGCAGAGAAGGAGAAGAGAGACATGGCCACTAGCTCCGAGGCCGGTACGGCCCAGCGGGACTTGGGCCTGGACCTGACAGCTCTCGTGCTCATCTACCTGCAGGAGGTAACCCCCACTCAGCCGCCCCTCCTGGAAACAGCAGTAGCCTCCAGAGTCAGACAGAGAGGCCTGGTGGATGAGATAGCTCTTTCCCCCATGTGAGAGATCCAGGGAGTGGGAGCTGTACTTCTGGAGAAGGTACAGCTGGGTTAGAGGCAGTGCATCTCGTTCCCAAGATACAGGGCTGTGGGCAGGAAGTCGACAGAAAGAATATAAAGACAGATTTACCCAGTACTCCATTGTTAGACTGGTAGTTGGGATTTGAAATATCCAGTTATACTTTGATAACATCCATTAATCATCAATTATAAATGTGTCGTGATTGAGTGGTGTGTTGTCAGTTGCTTATTGTGACCTCACTAAAGAGCCCCTGAAGTGGAAAGGGGCATCAGCTCACCTGTACACAGAGACAGAGGGACACAGCAGCACAGTGTCCAAGGAGGCTGTGATGTCAACAGGCAGAGGTCGGACAGTCCTGCCGACATGTTTGTATGATGACCTCTGGGCCCCGGACAATGGAGAAACCTTGTAATCTCTCTAGATGTCTCGGAACCACCCCACAGGGAAGGGCCTCACTGGGTATCCCCTCTCTTGTGCTCACATTGAGGGTGTGTGCATAGCACAACCTAGGTAGAACAGAGGAAGTTAGGAATCAGCACTTCTCAGTGGATATAATAGGACACTACACCTCTCACTGTTACATGTAGAGAAATGTAATGAAACGTAAACCTGTAGTAGTCTCCTGCTCTTGCCTCTGAGGCAAATCTTAACTTCCACTTAGGTCAAACTTTCACTTTATCATGCATTGATGGCAATGGGACACCGAGTGCAAATGTTGCTTAAATAGACGTAAGGATTTGTCTCCAATGTAACTACACCAATCCTCTTCCTCTCTCCAAGTTCCCCACAGCGATTGCAACCCTGCCAGGCACCCCATACTGTGAACACCTCCCCTAGCACCTTCCCCAGCCTCACTGTTAAGTTATCCCTGGGCAATGGCCCGTGGTGGGCATCGGAGTGAAGTCCCAGAGCCCTCCATAGATTAATGTTCCTTCTTTCCCTGCTTGATGGAGCGCTCTGCAGACCCATGCCAAACCTTTGCCTGTTGGTTTCTGAGTGCTCTCAGTCCACAGCAGGTAACACTGAGGGGAGATTCACTCTTTCACAGTTGGTGGTGTCAGCTTTCAGCATACTGGTGGGGGCTCTACTGGTCTGGATCACTATTGGAGATGAGCTGTAGCCTATGTCTGAGATTCCCTGGAAGGTCCACTTGATCAAAGGGTGTAGGGAGGCACCAGGGCAGACAAGAGTGGCAGGGTTTAGGCTGAGTAGGGCCACAGTACAGGTCTTCCCAGTGACACACTCAACCAATGGGGCTTCAGCAGGAGAGACACTATGCCACACTCCAGACAGGAGCATGACCAATAAGGTCACAATAGCACAACCCATGGTCCCCCAGGGCTAGCTTCAAGTATTTATATGTCTGTTATGTACCCACACAGGCATCCTAAGCAGTTCTTTAGCATTGAGTGTTCTATTTCAATGCCTCTGTAGTTCCCCAGTGTTCTATTTTGAAGCCTTTTACTGTTCTGTGATCACAAACAGCTGTGACATCACAATCATCCTGTGAACTGATACAGTGCCTTAAAGGACACAGAGGATATTTTGTCCATACTCAATCATTGAAGGCAATAAAGAAATCACTTCAGACGTGTTCATAAAAATTAATTACTTCATTTCTGATAATTGGACTGGTAAATGAAATATACATTTTAAATCAGTGCTTTTAAGTAGTCATCTTTTTGCCGTTGAGCATGCAAGGCCATACAACACTTTGATGTGACAGTACATTTAACATTACATAACATGTTTTTCAATAGTGATAATTTAAAAAAAGCATTGACGACAGGTCACTGACGCCACTTCAACTCAAGAGCCATCTACTCAGCAGATGACTATGCAGCAGTCAGTCTTAGAGCGGGGCATGCCCAAGACTTCCTGAAGAAAGAAGAGTTGGTACACTTCTTTCCCCTCACTCACAAACTTAATACTTCAGTGGGAAAAAGTTAACTTAGACACAAAATGGCACGGAGAGAGATAACTGACCATGATGAGCAACTGCAACGCCTGCATAGGACAGACCTGGAAGCACCCAGGCACAGCATACAAAACCCTGAAGAGCAGTGTCAGGGCATCAAGATGAGCAGAAGTCCACTTCTGTACCAAACTCTGGAAAGAAGACAGTGGCCTAGAGGGGAAGAGAAGGCAGAAATAGGATGGAGACAAGTATAATAAAAAGGGTATACTAAGCAAGGGAATATGTGTCCATACAATTCAAAATAAATTCTACATTTAGTATGAACAACATGACACTTAATCAAATATTTCATTATCGACACCTACATGGTTTTACGATTCTGCTTAAAAATAATTTCCCAATACCTTTGAGCAGAATTCCACTTCTGTACCAACCTCCTGTGCAAGGAAAGCACACAAGATGGGAGAAACAAGATGGGGATCAGTTGGACAGAAAAGGATACAAAAAAGATACTAAGCATGGGCAAAGTATGTCATCAAATGGGGGATTGGCAGAATGTTCTTAAAACACATAATCCACTGTTTTATTTGATAAATCATACTTCTGTATAAATGAACATCAATTAATTTAACATTACCTCCACATAACCTCATTGGACAGTTTAAGACACCCAGGCTTACTTACCTCAGAACAGCAGTCTCCTACAGTACAGTGTGTCCACAACACCTATCCACAGATCATGGTTCTAACAACCTACAAAAAGCAGAGATGCTAAGAACACCAGGGCTAATATTATCATATATATATATATAAATAAAATGGGAGAGCGCATAGTGAGAGCAAAAGCCAAAACATTACATATATTTAAGAGTGACGTGAAGAACATGGTAGGGTATCCAGTGGTTGAGAGATGGGGAGTGTCATTGTGCAATTAAGCGCTTTCAGAGATCGCAAGAGACTTTGCCATCGCAAAGTTCAAAGTGGGTAATTTCCCCCACTACTTTGAATATAACATTAAAACGTGTTCAGTAGAATGGACCGAAATGGCATAGATTAAGTTACAGTGCTGATGTATATTGGCTTCCACTGACTACAAAGAGTATGGTCATGAAGGGTCTATAATAACGAGGAAAGATGGGAAAGTTCAAAGTGACAATATAGTTCAAATCAGTTTATTAAAATGCTCTAAAATCTGTCAAGAAAATAAAATCATACATAAACGCAGCTTTGGGGTATCTAGGTATTTTTAAAAAAAGAAAAGAAATCAGCATATAATTTAACAAAAAATGTCTAAATCAAATTTACATTGGTAGTTAAGTTAAATCACTATGCCGACAGTTGCGTCGCAAAACGTCTTGAATAACGGTAAGTACCACCCACAGCCAAGATCTGACCAATTAAAGCGAAGTTATACTTAACACGTTGTTGGACTGATTATGCAAATGATTGTGTGGTTTATTTCTCTAACTGTAGCTAGATACAGCTCTAAGTATCTTTGTAACATTCAGGTTTACCAAAATTACATAAATTGCTCTTTAATTCATATTAAAATATTCCATTCATGAATGTCACAGTTTTGGGTTTTCATCCATTCACATTACACTATGACGGAAATAATTAGGCCTATATGGAGCCCTTAGCTGTACTGCGTCAAATCAAAATAGACTAACACCTCAGAAATGGAAAAAAAAAAAACTCTGCCTTCGGTCTATGCCCCAAACAGTTAATGAATCTCAAACAATCAAATCAAGCAGAACAAAAAAAGGTTAAACAGTTCAAGCAAGAGGACGAAACCGAAGACATAAAAGCGTATTATTTTTTTTTTAAGTATGGGGTGACCGCAAGCAATACAGTGTCTTCCAGTAAGTCGCAGGTGAACGCAACGCAATCCGCCACAGGCGAAGGGGGGGTATAGCGCCACGTGCATCAGGAGACAACGACGATCTTGGCGGATAATTTTAACCTGGAAAGAGAGCAAACCACACAAGTCAAAGCGCATTTTACTCATGGAGGAACGCGCTCAGGTTCAGTAAAAACGTCCAGCATTCTTTAAAGGCATATTAAGATTTGGAGAGTTTATAAAGGCTAAGGAGATGGTGAAACAATGTCTTAGGAACTTTTCTAGACTGGTATTTTAAGCGAGACATTTATCGTCAACATGAGGATTAACCCCCAATTCAAAAATTTGTTTTAAAGTGAGCTAGATATGGAGTGGACATGCGTAGTGTAATATCCTGTCTCTGATATCTCACCTTGAGTCAAACACCAGTGTGTGTTCAGTAAGAGTAGCGGGCAGGAGGCGGTGGAGGGACCCTGTCAGCGTAGGGGTCCCTGGTACGTGGTAGGTTGTACATTGCGGGCCTGGACAGAGGAGAGAGCCGGGAGCGCTCATATGAGTAGCCGTTACCCACGGGGGGCATGGGGGGAGGAGAGGGTCTTCTGATGGGACTGCGGTCACGGGAGTAGTAGGACAGAGGTGGGAGGGTGCGACGCTCGTACGGGTCGAGTGAGGAGGCCGCAAGGCGCTCCCTAACCATGACAGAAGGGGGTGGTGGTGGGGGTATGGAGCCAAAGCGCCTCTCATCTCCATAGCCTGAGAGGCCACCATAAGGGGCAGGGCGAGCTCTGTACTTCTCATAGTAATCCACCACCGCGTAGCTTTCCCTCTCGCGCTCATAGGCACGCTCGGGGGGGTACGGAGCTCGTCTAGGGGGAGGTGGTGGTGGAGGGAGGCCAGGGTACCCCCCTGACATGCGACCTCTGTAATGAGGGGGCTCAGGCTGCCCCCTGTCCCCGGGGTAGCCACGAGGTGCTGGCCAGTATGCACACCTATCTGGTGGGGGGCCATAATCCTCTTCCTCCCCTCTGGGACGGCTTTTTGACATCTGAACGTGAATACGTTTGCCTAAAGAGGAAAACGATGATTAACAGTCAGACAGTGACATGCAAAACAAAAGTCCATATTTAACGTCAGGACTTCCCAGCAGTTTAATAGTGAATGTTAAATGAGGGTCTTAGTTTCTTACCTTGGAAGTCAGAGTTGTCTAATCCCTTTATGGCATCCTTGGCCTCATCCGAGTTGGACATGTGGACGAAAGCAAAGTTTTTGACAATAGCACATTCTGTGACTGTGCCATACTCCTCGAACAAGGTGCGGAGCTCATCATCGTTGCCTTTCTCCACGTTGGCCACGTGAAGTTTCACCGGACCCTGGTTCTTTCCCCTGCTTGGCTCCACATTGATTGGCCTGCCATGAAGCTTTAAGAGGTGCAGGCTGCGGATGGCTTTGGTGGCAGACTTACGGTCATCCATGTGGACGAAGGCATAGTTTTTGAACTTTGCACATTCTGTCACTGTGCCATGTTGAGTAAACAGCGCCTCGATCTCATCCTTTTCGACCTCGTTAGGGAGGTTTCCAATAAAGATCTTCACCATATTTATTTCAACGCAGAGCCTGTGAGAGGAGAGGCATGTCAATATACCAGTTATGCTGCAAATGCGTGATGGTGAGTGGGCGGCAGAGACAGGAAATTAAATTATTGACGTTACCTAACGTTAGCAAGCTAACGTAGTCTAGTGAAATGTAATGCATACTGGTCCAACCGTTACCAAATGCTACATAGCAAACAAACTTTGTTCAATGTCCAAGTTCAACACATTTCTAAAGCCGGGTAAGCTGTTGTCCAGCAAGCAACGTCATAAAGCCGGACGAAAGTGGAGTGGTTAGCTAGCTTGCTAACGTTAACCGGCTAGTTATGGAATATCGAAAGTAGTCAAGACTTCCTCCATGACAGCATCCACTGGCAAAGGGTGGCTAACGTTAGCTAGATAGCTAACATTAGCTACCTATATGATAGCTCAATAACGACAAAAATACGAATGGCAAATTCATGTATCGCAATTATCGTAAAGCAAGTTCAACTAGTGATTTTGGCATAAAACACTTCGAAATAACGAGTACATTACCGTGGCAACATTGATTAGCTAACAAACTCACCTTACCGCTAGAACGATGACGAAACAAGATATCAACTCACGTCAGTTTTCTGAACTAATGCGACATGGCCCGCCCACTGAAAGGTTTGATTGGTGAATGGCCTTGTCCGTATGTTATTCACCGGTAAACAAGTAGTTTGATTGGAGAAACTGGTAAAACGAAATGAATTTAACAAAATCACAACAGACCAATTCTGTTCTTTTTTACACTAATTGGTCTTTTGACCAGTCACATCAGATCTTTTCACATCAGCTCTTTTTCTCAGAGCTGATCTGATTGTTCAACAGACCTATTAGTAAAAAAAGATCAGAATTGTGCCACCTGTGTTAAGTCACGGAATTTTGCTCATCTTTTTCAACTCATGTTCTGCTCAGTGCTATTTGGAGATGCTCACACATCTCAGAATACGTACACCCAAATAATTAATTTTCAGACAATTTAAGTTAAAATATTGTATTATTTACACTCATATTATGTAAAGCATAGGCAACATTGCCACGGGAGATGGAGGGACATGTCTCCCCCAACATTCAGAACAGGACGATTCTCCCCCCTCCCCCAATCATTTCTTTATTGGCCCCCCAGATAGCTAATGAACACCTCAAAAGCCATGGCAAAATGTGTAGAATTGCAGGAAATTAGCTTTAACTGTAATCTTTGGACACGAAAAATGGTCCAACTCCTCTTTGAAAATGTTCATGCAGAAATGGGGTTTGCCTTTTTTGGGTGGTTTATTTATGTGTAATTCTGGTCATGCGCACCGCGACTGACGTAGCTAGTTCGTTAGCTTAGGTAGCCACTTGTAGCTAGTCAGTAACTCCAGTATGTGTTGACGTAATTTCATAGGATTTGCTTTTGGACGGAAGCTGTAGAGATCGGTAAGAAATATCTTATTCATCCCAAAAAATGTTAAGCATTAAATGACCTGGGCCCAGTTTCCCAAAAGCATCTTAAGGCTAAATTCATCGTTAGAGCCTTCGTACTTAACCCTAATTGCTCCTGTAAGTCGCTCTGGATAAGAGCGTCTGCTAAATGACTAAAATGTAAAATGTAGGAGCGTCATTAAATCTCTGAGCTGTTTCCCAAAATCATCATTATTCATGTTGCACTTGAAAACGCTCGTAATCTAACACCTGCCTCAGACCACTTAGAGAACAGCTAAGTACGTCATTAATGTTTTTTTGCCCTCCTGCGTCACTTTATACATAGAAGATCTCCGCTAATAGCCTGGCACCGAAGAAGATGGTGGCCTTGTGACTAGCTCTTAGGAAACTTTGCAGAATTTTGTTTTTTTATGCTCAGAAAGTGTTTTGCATCATTACATACAGCCGGGAAAAACTATTGGATATCAGAGCGGCGGTAACTCACCAGCATTACGACCAGGAATACGACTTTCCCGAAGCAGATCCTTTGTTTGCTCTCCCCAGGGCAACTGAACTGATTCCAGCAGCTGACCCAAAACATTGCCGGTGGCGGAGAGGCACTCAGAGCGGCCTGCTGGTCCGACTTAGGAGGTGCGCACACCACCCACCGCTTCCGAGTATATTACTCGCTAATGTTCAATCTTTGGTTAACAAGGTCGATGAACTACGAGCAAGGATTTCTTTCCAGAGAGACATCAAGGCCTGTAACATACTCTGTTTCACGGAAACATGGCTCTCTTGGGATATTCTGTCGGAATCGGTCCAGCCAGAGGGGTTCTCAGTTCATTGCGCAGACAGGAATAAATATCTCTCCGGGAAGCAGAAGGGCGGAGGTGTGTGTTTCATGATTAACGACTCATGGTGTAATTGTAGTAACATACAGGAACTCGAGTCCTTCTGTTCACCCAACCTAGAATTTCTCACAATCAAATGCCGACCGTATTATCTCCCAAGAGAATTTTCTTCGGTTATAGTCACGGCCGTGTATATCCCCCCTCAAGCCGATACCACGACGGCCCTCAAAGAACTTCACTGGACTTTATGCAAACTGGAAACCACATATCCTGAGGCTGCATTTATTGTAGCCAGGGATTTTAACAAAGCAAATTTGAGGACTAGGCTGCCGAAGTTCTATCAACATATTGACTGTTGTACTCGCACTGCCAAAATCCTCGACCATTGCTATTCGAACTTCCGGGATGGTTATAAGGCCATCCCCCGCCCTCCTTTCGGCAAATCTGACCACGACTCCATTTTGCTTCTCCCTTCCTATAGGCAGAAACTCAAACAGGAAGTACCCGTGCAAAGGACTATTCAATGCAGGTCTGACCAATCAGAATCCACGCTTCAAGATTGTTTTGATCACGCGGACTGGGATATGTTCCGGGTAGCTTCTGGAAATAATTTTTACGAATACACAGAAACTGTGAGTGAGTTTATCAGGAAGTGTATAGGTTATGTTGTGCCCACTGTGACTATTAAAACCTTCCTTACCGGAAACTGTGGATAGATGGCAGCATTCGCACTAATCTGAAAGCGCGAACGATTGCATTCAACCATGGCAAGGTGACTGGGAATATGGCAGAATACAAACAGTGAAGCTACTCACTCCGCAAAGCAATTAAACTGGCAAAACATCAGTATAGAGACAAAGTGGAGTCGCAATTCAACGGCTCACCACCAAGGACTGTGGCCTCTCCTTCTCCGTGGCTGACGTGAGTAAGACATTTAAGCGTGTTAACCTTAAATGGGCAGGTGTAGACCTTACCGTGAAATGCTTACTTACAAGCCCTTAACCAACAACGCAGTTAAGAAAAATAAGAGTTTAGAAAATTGAGGTAATATGTACATGTAGGTAGGGGTAAACTGACTATGCATAGATAATAAACAGCGAGTAGCGGGGGTTCAATGCAAATAGTTTGGGTAGTCTCATAGGGCGGCGCATAATTGGCCCAGCGTCGTCTGGATTAGGGGAGGGTTTTGCTGTGGGGGGGCTTTACTTGGCTCTTCACGCTCTAGAGACTCCTTGTGTCACGATCGTCAGATACAGAGGACCAAGGCGCAGCGTGGAAGGTGAACATATTTATTAAATAATGATTACACGAACAAAACAACAAATCGATACGTGACGTCCACAGGTGCAAACCACAAACCAACACGGAACAAGATCCCACAAACACTGTGGGAAAACTGGCTGCTTAAGTATGGTTCCCAATCAGAGACAACAAGCAACAGCTGATACACGTTGCCTCTGATTGAGAACCACACTGGCCAACATAGAACTACAAAACTAGAACGAAAAACTAATGAAAACTCACACCCTGGCTCAACATACTAGAGTCCCCAGAGCCAGGGCGTGACAGTACCCCCCCCAAAGGCGCGGACTCCGGCCGCGCCAACCAAACACCACAGGGGAGGGACCGGGTGGGCACTCCGCCTTGGCGGCGGATCCGGCTCCGGGCATTATTCACACTCCCTCTCCAACCCCCCAAAGTACCCCTGGTCCGGTCTGACCCTGCTGGCCGGAGCTGGACTGAACACCGGTGGAGCGGATTGCTCTAGCTCCGGCGTGGAGCAGCTGACCGGTGCCAGACCAGGCACCGGTGGAACAGGCACGGGCTGTGCCGGACTGACGACGCACACCACTGGCTTGGTGTGGGGAGCAGGAACAGGCCGAACCGGGCTTACGATGCGCACCATAGGCTTGGTGCGTGGAGCAGGAACAGGCCGGGCCGGGCTGACGATGCACACCATAGGCTTGGTGCGTGGAGCAGGAACAGGCCGGGCCGGGCTGACGACGCGCACCACAGGCTCGATGCGAAGAACAGGAACAGGCCGGACCGTACTGGGGACACACACCACTGGCCCTACGCAGGGATCAGGAACGGGCCGGACCGGACTGGTAACACACCCCAGTACCTCTCGCCGTGCCTCTACACTTTCCCTCTCCTCTGTGACCAGTGGCCCCCTTAACCTGGCGGCCTCCTCTGCAAACCCGCTGGACCGCTCTATCGCGGCCTCCTGCTGCCCCGTCGTCCACGGCGTGAGCCCCCCCCCTAAAAAAATTCTGGGGGTCTCTCCTCCCCGTGGGCCAGGCCCAGTCGAGGTTGATGTCCTTTAGCGATACCTCTGGTGCTGGCTCCTGGACACGCTGCTTGGTCCAGTGTTGGTGGGATCTTCTGTCACGATCGTCGGATACAGAGGACCAAGGCGCAGCGTGGAAGGTGAACATATTTATTAAATAATGATTACACTAACAAAACAACAAATCGATACGTGACGTCCACAGGTACAAACCAACACGGAACAAGATCCCAAACACTGTGGGAAAACTGACTGCTTAAGTATGGTTCCCAATCAGAGACAACAAGCAACAGCTGATACACGTTGGCTCTGATTGAGAACCACACTGGCCAACATAGAACTACAGAACTAGAACGAAAAACAAATGAAAACTCACACCCTGGCTCAACATACTAGAGTCTCCAGAGCCAGGGCGTGACACCTTGTTGCGGGCCAGGCGCCTACAGGCTGACTTCGGTCGTCAGTTGAATGGTGTTTCCTCCAACACATTGGTGGGGCTGGTGTCGTAGAAATATTTGACTCAAAAGTAGTCAACTCAAAAATATCTCTCAAGAGACTGGAGCTTGTGAATCCAAAAATTAGACTTTATTATTTGCATAGCAAAGCCGAGCTTGCTCCATGGAACAACTGTCTTTCTTTGGCTTAGAGCTCCCTTTTATACACACAAATGCATATAGCATACATTCATGTTTACATAGCATACAATTACTCCCCTTAGGGCAAATGATTAACTTATTTTAGTGCCACTCTACCCATCTTTCAACGTCCAGATGTCACATGTGGCTTACTCCAAAAGTCCATGGGCGCTTTTCCATATGAAGCCTCTTCCCCTTATCGCATTATATTGGTGGCAGACCCTTTCTCAAAAATAATACACATACATACATTAAGGCATGGTTACACACTGTATTGGCTATATTCCTTATTTAAACATACATCTGGATTATAGAATGTCAATCATGTTTACTATATTTTACTTTTGACATTTCCCAACATTTCCCTTAATGATACATAAAATATTACCATACTGGCTTCTGGGTTAAGAAGGCAGGTGTTAAGGAGCGCGGTTTGGCGGGTCATGTTTTGGAGGACGCATGACTCGACCTTCGCCTCTCCCAAGCCTGTTGGGGAGTTGTAGCGATGAGACAAGATCGTAATTGGATCGCAATTGGATATCGAGAAAAAGGGGGTAAAATACTATTTAAAAATAATAATAATAATAATAATCACCGCCTGGTACGGCAACTGCACCGCCCACAACCGCTGGGCTCTCCAGAGGGTGGTGCGGTCTGCCCAACGCATCACCGGCGGCACACTGCCTGCCCTCCAGGACACCTAAAGCACCCGATGTCAGAGGAAGGCCAAAAAGATCATCAAGGACAACAACCACCCGAGCCACTGCCTGTTAAACCTGCTACCATCCAGAAGGCGAGGTCAGTACAGGTGCATCAAAGCTGAGACCATCAGACTGTTAAATAGCCATCACTAGCTGGCAACCACCCGGTTACTCAACCCTGCACCTAGAGGCTGCTGCCCTATATAGATAGACATGGAATCACTGGTCAGTTTAATAATGTTTACATACTGCTTTACTAATTTCATATGTATATACTGTATTCTATTCTACTGTATTTTAGTCAATGCCACTCTGACATTGCTCGTCCTAATATTTATTTATTTCTTAATTCCATTCTTTTACTTTTAGATTTTTGTGTATTGTTGTGAATTGTTCGATACTACTGCACTGTTGGAGCTAGGAACACAAGCATTTCGCTACACCCGCAGTAACATCTGCTAAATATGTGTATGTGACCAATAAAATGTGATTTGATTTAGCTAGCTAACAAGCTTGAACTAAGAAGCTAACAAGCTTGTGTGTGCAGAGCATCACCAGAATTAAAAACACGTCTTACCTTTTTGTAGTTAATAAATCCAACGTGAAACATGATAACTAGGCCTATATTATCCTTAACTAGCATTGAAAAAGTTAATCCATTCTTCTCTAGCTAATTAAAAATATCTCTCCCTATCTTCTCACGCTTCTAACATCAGTACCGTAGCCTATACTTTGGATGGGGGGTGGGGCAGGTAGCCTAAACATATTTTCCTGATTTGTTTGATATTAATAGTTAAATTATATACTTAACAAATAGTAAGACATTTCTGTTCTACTAATGCTGTGTTTTTGAAAGGGATGGTCTCCACTCTAACTCCCTGCAGCTAATCGGCGTATGGTCATTAGAGATAGCTTGGGCTGGCAACTGATAAAGTTAGGTAATAAAACCAACAGCCACATTCCATTGTATGATTAGTGGTGCATGTGAGGGAGATGTCTCCAGTCTGACTGAGCCTGCATGCCATAGATAAGATGTGGTATGTGTGACTCGAGATAGAGATAGCCTGGAGGAGGAGAACAAACATTATTGTTTGTTCTCATCCTTGCATCTGGGAAATGTAGCCTGGAGGAGTAAAATAACACCCCGTGCAGATAACCACCAGATGAACCCAAGGTGGCTTATGATGCCCCCGATCTGAATGGGAGGGGTGGAACCAGCATTTTTATATCTACTATATAAAGAACTCTACATTTTCTGTATATCAGAGCTCTCGGCCCAACACTCAAGAGTGTTGGGTCAACCAGCCTCACTTACTACCTTATTAATATGTTTTGAATAAAGTAATATCCTGATTGGTGATTGACCTTGTCTCTCCTCATTATTGATTAGAATTTCCACGACAGCGCACACACACTGGTAAAGATTTTCACATTGCAGGCAGCCACTAGTTAACGTTAATGGAACGCAGACCGTGTGGGATAGAAAGACGCCGGATTGGCACACATTCAACAAATCTGATCTAACAAAGTGGATATTTGGTATAATCCGTCATATTTTATGTATTGTAACAGGCCCACAATGTGGTTACTAAAGTCTGATTTAAATATTTTTGGTTGTTTTCGCTGCATAACATTTAGAAGTAGTCCCTTTTTTTAGGTTTAGAAGAAGTGACTGTTAAATGCTAACTCCCGTTCGTACAAGCTGGTAGCATAGCTAGCATAGAGAAAGCATGTAATGCAGTTGATTGGTGATGATGACATGAACATGTATTGGGGCTGACATCCATACAAGCGTTAAACTCCGATTTTTACCTCAACATAGTGTGAAATAGGCCTACACATATAAACAGTAGCCTAAATGTAGGCTAATTTTGCTGGGGAGCAAAAGGCATGTGCGCACACTGGGGTCGAGTTCCATTGACCTCTTTACTACGGGTGTGTTTGTAAATTAAATCTGGAGTGCCAAAGTGCACTCTGGGCGTTCATAAATTCAGAGCTTTGTCAGATTTTCTGTTCGTAAATTCAGAGCATTTCGCTCTCAGAGCGCACACTGGACGCTCTGGCCGAGGAGTTGGGTTAATCCGAGCGTTCTGACCTCACAACGGCAGTCAAGCACCCAAGCTAACCCGCTAACGTTGGCTAGCTACTTCCAGACACAAATGAGAGAACAACCTCACTCTGACCATTTTACTCGCCCTGGCAGAGCTGGTTAGGCTGTTTTCATGTTATCCAGAGTGTTGGTGACTGTAACTGTGCTGCTGTCAACAATTTAATTACGCTTTTTTTGCCAACGTTTACTGACACCGGCCATATTCAACGGGTGTTGAGCGTTTGTAAATTCATCAGTTATTCTGCGAGAGTGCTCTGAAATCGGAGTAGATAGCCAGAGTGAATTTACGAACGCACCCAGAATGGTGTGGATGTATACCGGTCATTCAAAATATTAATGCAAGTAGACAGCTGATTGGCCAGCTCATCCTCCTCAGGAGGATGACATCATCCTCTATGAGGAAATAGCAAGCATTGAAATGTTGTCTTTGAGATAGAAGTTGGAGGTGTTTTTATTTAGTTTTTTTTTCTCTCATCAAACTGTAGAATTGAAGGAAATGCGTTTTAAAATGTCAACAACAATACAAATCCGGGGGAGGACAGCCCGTCTACTGTTTGTCCCCCTGCCATTGATCTAAAGTACAACATTTGTACATGAATCAGATACTGTAGGTGCATGATTGTGTTAATCGTGTGTATCTAACAAGCCTATACAAAACACTGAAGATTTGTTTATTTTGATTCATTCATTGCAATCAATGTCATTCAGATATTGTTATGATTTCCTGAAAATGTTATGATTTCTCTAAAAGTGGCTGCTTTCCAATGGTGATTTAAAACAGAGATCTTTGTAATGCACTGTTGGCTGGCTGTGCTGCCACTCTCACATTCTAGGATAGCACTCAACATCCAAACCCCCCCCAAATTTGTATCTTGCTTATGCTGGCTATACTGTGGCGCAAAGGGGTAGAGTCCAACAGGCATAGGCTGTAGAGGCGTAGAGGGGTAAGAGGGATGAGACAAGGGGTGAGGGGGATGTATGTTGACCTGGACAGAGGACGCGACATTGACACGGAGGAGAGGGCGCTGACGTAACTTCAACTCGCTTGCCATCTGGCACCAGGCACAGATGGGGCAGCAGGTGACCATGAGGCAGTCGGTGCATATGGTTCCCTACAGGCAGTGATGGTGGGGAAGATATGAAATAGATGGGTGTCAGATCACTTGAATAAAGTGGCTTTTACTCCCACGATCACATCACATTTATTATTTTGGTCCTATTCAGTGATAAATGTCAGTGGACCTATTATGGCCCTCATTATGATTGTGTGTTTATTGATCTTGTCTAGCATCACTTGACAGCTCTGTGTGTATGATACACTGGTTAATTTCATTATTGGAGATGTTACGTTATCAGACGAGTAACATCAGGGTAGTTTCACTCTACCTGGATGCGGTACCTCTCACTCATGTTGCTCCTGAGGGCCAGAGAAGTAGATGGGATGCAGCCAGAGAAAATGTCCAGCAGGGGGAGACAGAGACACTCTCCTAAGTCTGTACTGAGCTGACACAAGAGACAGCAGGGGCACCAGAACCCAATGCAATCTGACAGGAGAGACAGACAGACAGGAAGACAGACAGACAGACAGACAAAGTTACACACATGCATGCACTCACACACACGCATGCAGAGCATGTGCAGACCAGCTGGCTGGTGTGTTTACGGACATATTCAATCTCTCCCTTTCCCAGTCTGCTGTTCCCACATGCATCAAGTGAGCCACCATTGTTCCTGTACCCAAGAAAGCAAAGGTAACTGAACTAAATGACTATCGCCCCGTAGCACTCACCTCTGTCATCATGAAGTGGTTTGAGAGACTAGTCAAGGATCATATCACCTCTACCTTACCTGACACCCTAGACCCACTTCAATTTGCTTACCGCCCCAATAGATCCACAGATGATGCAATCGCCATCACACTGCACACTGCCCTATCCCATCTGGACCAGTGGAATACCTATGCAATAATGCTGTTCATTGACTATAGCTCATCATTCAACACCATAGTACCCTCCAAGCTCATCATTAAGCTCTAAGCCCTGGGTCTGAACCCCGCTCTGTGCAACTGGGTCCTGGACTTCCTGACGGGCCACCCCCAGGTGGTGAAGGTAGGAAACAACATCTCTACTTCACTGATCCTCAACACTGGGGCCCCACAAGGGTGCATGCTCAGCCCCCTCCTGTACTCCCTGTTCACCCATGACCGCGTGGCCAAGCACGCCTCCAACTCAATCATCAAGTTTGCAGACGACACAACAGTAGTAGGCTTGATTACCAACAATGACGAGACCGCCTACAGGTAGGAGGTGAGGGCTCTGGGAGTGTGGTGCCAGGAAAATAACCTCTCACTCAACGTCAACAAAACAGATGATCGTGGACTTCAGGAAACAGCAGATCATCAAGGACATCAACCACCCGAGCCACTGCCTGTTCACCCCGCTATCATCCAGAAGGCGAGGTCAGTACAGGTGCATCAAAGCTGGGACAGAGAGAATGAAAAACAGCTTCTATCTCAAGGCATTCAGACTGTTAAATAGGCATCACTAGCACATTAGAGGCTGCTGCTGCCTATTGAAATCACTGGCCACTTTAAGAAATGGAACACTAGTCACTTTAATAATGTTTACATATCTTGCACTACTCATCTCATATGTATACACTATATTTATTCTATAATATTATACTGTATGTTAGTCCATGCTGCTCTGTCATTGCTTATTATAATAATAATATGCCATTTAGGAGACGCTTGAATCCAAAGTGCATAAATTTTTACGTATGGGTGGTCCCTGGGATCGAACCCACTACCTTGGCGTTACAAGCGCCATGCTCTACCAATTGCTTGTCCATATATATATATATTCTTAAATTCCATTCCTTACTAGATTTGTGTGTATTGGGTATATGTTGTGAAATTGTTAGATATTACTTGTTAGATATTACTGCACTGTCGGAGTTAGAAGCACAAGTATTTCGCTACACCCGCAATAACATCTGCTAAACACGTGTATGTGACAAATAACATTTGATTTGATTTGCACACCCACTCACACACATACACACACATGCATTCACAAACACACACACACACATTCATTGAATACACCCACAGATCTTCATGTCGTCACAACAGTCACAGATGCTGCTGCTCCACACCTCAGTCTTTGAGACTGCAGGGGACCGAAACATGCCTGGCTGTATGGTCACTACAGTCATCGGCTGGAGCTGTACAGCCATCACTATGGATATACAGAGGACATTGCAAATGAAAGGGACGGCCATAGATCTGCCCAGGTAATATGGAGTTGAGTTATATGACAAAAAAACTATACAAAATACAACTAGAATCATGCTGATTCAATATACACTACCGGTCAAAGGTTTTAGAACACCTACTCATTTAAGGGTTTTTCTTTATTTTTACTATTTTCTACATTGTAGAATAATAGTGAAGACATCAAAACTATGAAATAACACATGGAATCATGTAGTAATCAAAAAAGTGTTTATCAAATCAAAATATATGTTATATTTGAGATTCTTCAAATAGCCACCCTTTGCCTTGATGACAGCTTTGCACACTCTTGGCATTCTCTCAACCAGCTTCACCTGGAATGCTTTTCCAACAGTCTTGAAGAAGTTCCCACATATGCTGAGCACTTGTTGGCTGCTTTTCCTTCACTCTGCGGTCCGACTCATCCCAAACCATCTCAATTTGGTTGAGGTCGGGGGATTGTGGAGGCCAGGTCATCTGATGCAGCACTCCATCACTCTCCTTCTTGGTAAAATAGCCCTTACACAGCCTGGAGGTCTATTGGGTCATTGTCCTGTTGAAAAACAAATGATAGTCCCACTAGGCCCGAACCAGATGGGATCGCTGCAGAATGCTGTGGTAGCCATGCTGGTTAAGTGTGTCTTGAATTCTAAGTAAATCACAGACAGTGTCACCAGCAAAGCACCCCCACACAATAACACCACCTCCTCCATGCTTTACGGTGGGAACTATACATGCGGAGATCATCCGTTCACCCACAGCGCATCTCACAAAGACACGCTGGTTGGAACCAAAAATCTCCAATTTGGACTCCAGACCAAAGGACACATTTCCACCGGTCTAATGTCCATTGCTCGTCTTTCTTGGCCCAAGCAAGTCTCTTCTTCTTATTGGTGTCCTTTAGTAGTGGTTTCTTTGCAGCAATTCGACCATGAAGGCCTGATTCACACAGTCTCCTCTGAACAGTTGATGTTGAGATGTGTCTGTTACTTGAACTCTGTGAAGCATTTATTTGGGCTGCAATTTCTGAGGCTGGTAACTCTAATGAACTTATCTTCTGTAGCAGAGGTAACTCTGGGTCTTCCATTCCTGTGGCGGTCCTCATGAGAGCCAGTTTCATCATAGTGCTTGATGGTTTTTGCGACTGCACTTGAAGAAACTTTAAAAGTTCTTAAAATGTTCCGTATTGACTGACCTTCATGTCTTAAAGTATTGATGGACTGTCGTTTCTCTGTGCTTATTTGAGCTGTTCTTGCCATAATATGGACTTGGTCTTTTACAAAACAGGGCTAACTTCAATATACCCCCCCCTGCCTTGTCACAACACAACTGATTTGTTTAACACTTTTTTGGTTACTACATGATTCCATATGGGTTATTTCATAGTTTTAATGTCTTCACAATTTTTCTACAATGTAGAAAATAGTAAAAAAAAAAAAAAAAAAAACCTTGAATGAGTAGGTGTTCTAAAACTTTTGACCGGTGGTGTACAATTATTACATTGTTTGTTATCTTAGCTGAATAACGGAATAACCGTATAACAAATGTATTATTACGTTATTCTGTTATTCAGCTTAGTTAACAGATTCAACATCATCACTACTGGCCTTTAAACTTCTGACGTCGCAAAGAATACATCTTCTTTCACTACTGCCAGAGGGGCTCCCAAGTGGTGCAGCGATCTAAGGCACTGCATCTCAGTGCTTGAGGCGTCACTACAGACCCCCTGGTTCAATTCCAGGCTGTATCACAACCGGCCGTGATTGGGAGTCCCATAGGGCGGCGCACAATTGGCCCAGCGTCGTCCGGGTTTGGCCGGTGTAGGCCGTCATTGTAAATAAGAATTTGTTCTTAACTGACTTGCCTAGTTAAATAAAGGTTAAATAAAATAAACAAAATAAAAGAGGGACTATGTCAGTAGCTAATTCCACAGTTTTTATTGGTTGCTATCACAAGTCCCATCTGAAACTCTAATAGCAGGCTGGTTTTTATGTTTGCTCGGATCAGAGGGGCTGGTCTGGTCTTTTCACAGTAAACATAATAATAAAAGCTAATCTCCTCCCCTTCGATTCATCTCTAGGTTACTGGTAGTCTCCCTAGGCAGGCGGGTTGCCTCCCACATGAACAATGTGGCAACACACACAAATTATGTTGCTTATGTGTTGCTTTAAGTCTGGGATTAAAGAGACTAGGGATCTGGCTCTTAGAGCACTCAAAACACTAAAGTTGTGGTTCAATTGTGGTTTGGTTGTTCAACGGGTTTAGGTACTTACAGAATGGGTCAATGATGCTGTTCATGTTCTGATCTATTGTATGAAATTCATGTCAGTAACATTTTCTGCTACGATAACTTTGGCAGTTACTTAAATGTATTATTATATGAAATGTCAGTTTGTAGTCTCATTAATAACTTATCATCTGCTCTAGAGCTGAAAATAAAGTTATTATTTCAAAAGCAAGCAATTCATAATTTATTTCACATACAAATTCCCGGATGTACTATATTGATTGTGATATAAAAGCATTCATGGTAATGATATTGCTTTTAACCCACTCAATGTTTACAACTCTTTACGCCTTTACTGCTTGAAAGGTTCCTCATACGGCACATAACCATTATAATTTTCTGTTTTCGGGGATGACATAAAAATAACATACGGCATAACAAAATCGAAGAACCACAAAATACATCTCACAGCCTACCTGCTTCTGAAGGTGATGGTGATGGTCAGGTCTACTCCATGTCTCGAAGGGGTGGAGATGCAGAAAACAAGACTGGATACACAGAGTCAAATTCACACACGGAAAGATGGATGGGTCGACACACAGCTAATGAGAGAGTGTACCTGAGGTTCTCTCTGGCAACCAAATGTGTCTGTGTGGAGGGAGGAACCTGTGTGTGTGTGTGTGTGTGTGTGTGTGTGCGCATGCGTGCGTGCGTGCGTGTGCGTGTCACTCATGACATTGTCATTCTGTCGTAGAGTGACCTGGATCTGTGCAAACTCCTGCCTGCAGCCCACTGGGCACCTTGAAGATAATATAATTGGTGTGTGTGTGTGTGTTTGTGTTCGTGTGCGCGCGCTTGTGCGTGCATTAATGTATGTGTGTGTGGAGATAATATAATTGGTCACAGCTGTGGTGTGTGTGTGTGTCACTGGCACTGGTGACATTGTCATTGTATACTTCATAGAGTGACCTGGATCTGTGTAAACTCCTGCCTGCAGCCCCCTGGGCACTGTATGTGTGTGTGTGTGTGTGTGTGTGTGTG